CTCTTCTGAACAGAGATCTCAGATGTTGTTCTTGGGATCTGCTGGAGCCACTTGCCTAGCTTGGGGGGGGTCACTGCACAAATTGCTCCGATTACCAGTAGGACCACTGTTACCTTCACCCTCCACATCTTCTCAAGCTCTTCTCTGAGCCCTTGGTACTTCTCTAGATTCTCGTGTTTCTTCTTCCTGATGTTGATGTCATTTGGTATTGCTACGTATATCACTATGGCTGTCTTCCACTGCTTGTTGGTTAGCCACCACCATTTTGTCCATCTGTGTCTGGAAGTCCCACAGGATCTTAGCTCGGCCATTCTCCACAACTGTTACGTCCCTCTGATGGTGATATAAGAGTTGCAAGGCTGCTTCTGCGGTTCCACAATGGTGCACGAGCTGATTAGCAGTGGACTGGTCAGCTTTTTTCTGATCTGGAAGAATGCCCACAGCTGATTCACAAACCAGTGACCCAGAGACAGAGTGAGCAGCAGCAGGCTGAGGCTGGTGAGATCCAGCGCTGGCTGCTGGTTGACTTCAGCAACTGCATTCAGAGGCACAGTTAGCAGCAGCATGGCTCGAGAGAAACCAGGACAGTGCAGGAATGTCAGCAGAACCACGCCTCTACCCAGAATCAAAACTTCATTGTGCTTTCTGGCACGCTGACCCTGTTTGCAGTTGTCCACACATCTGTGGAGTGTGTGTGGTAGAAACACCCAAAGCAAGCTGTGACTGACAGCAGGTGGTGATTCAGAATGACTTCTATTGACAGTCCTCAAAACGTTGTATAAATATTACACCCCACCTATTGTCAGGCGGGAGATGGAGCCTGATGTTTTGCAGAGCCTTCACCACATATGTGTTTTAATAAAATAATTTGTGTTGACCCACAAAAAAAAAAACCAAAAAAAAAAAACACTTATGTTACGACCCGGCTCAAAAGCCGCAACATAAAAAAAAGGGAGATGAATAACAGAGTGTGGGTGAGAAGAGGTTTCATCCTAAAATGGAAAACCAGGTTGGCTAAAATGGCTGGTGCCACCAAGGCAAAGACTAGTGCACTGCCGGAAAGCTTGCCTCAGGTATGCTTTTATCCACACCTGACTAGGTGTGGCCAATTAGCACCAGCTGAAAACACTGAGACGATTAAAAGCTGCAGAGGGACGTAACAACAACCCTAGTGGGCGTCTCCCATTTTGACCTAGGGACTTCCAGGCCATATTCGGCGCATATGTTTCTGTACACTATGTCGGCCACTTGGTTATGGTGTTCCATGTATGCCCTGCCTGCTAGCATCTTACATCCTGCTGTTATGTGCTGGATTGTCTCAGGAGGCATCTTTACACAGCCTGGTGTGATAGACCCCAGCCTCTGGATCTTGTGCTCAGAGCTTGTTCCTGTGCTGCCATCAGTGTTGGTCAAGTTACTTGAAAAAAGTAATCAGTAACTAATTACTGATTACTTCCCCCAAAAAGTAATCCCGTTACTTTACTGATTACTTATTTTCAAAAGTAATTAATTACTTAGTTACTTAGTTACTTTTTAAAAACACGATTTACAACCTGAATAGGTGATAAAGCGATAGATCTTTCAGCCCAATTCTACTTTTTCTGCATAATCCATCATACAAAATGTAATCAAATGGAAGTCTCTTTTTTTTAACTTGTTTTATCAGTTTTAATCTTTTAACTTTATGCATCAAGCAAAAATGTAATTATATGCAACATTCTCTGACTTGAATAAATTAGTTTAACATTTAAACCTATTTTCTGCACATTCCAGCACATAAAATAAAATATTTTTTGTGTTTACACTCACTCTTTCAAATAGATGCAAGTAAAACACAGCAGAAAATAAATAAAGTCAAAGACTCAGCGGTCCTGTTGCTCTATTTTCACCTGTAAAGCAGGAGTGGCGTAGGCGGAGGTTTACCCTGGTGCAGGTGTGCCGCAGCGGTCAGTTGAAGAATCCGCGAGTTTCTCTGTGAGTTTCCCATTACGTCGTTGCGCACTCGGTGCTTGCTTGGAAGTTTAGGGTTTTTTTTCGCTGTAAAAAGTTTTCTTCCCACGCACAACGGACACTAATGTTTTTGTCACTTTTTATGGAATCAAACTCAAAATAAGGTCAGTACTTCCACGCTTTAAACGCTGCACGCTCATACTCTCTCCCACAATCGATATAGGATCCATTGTTGATCTGCACACAGCTGTTGTCACCAACGGCGCACTCGCTTACTAGGGGTGGGGGAAAAAATCGATACTGTGTAGTATCGTGATATTTTGTTTGCTAATAATGTATCGATACAGGGACAGCAGAAATCGATATTTTGTTACAAAAAAGGTTTGTGTGCTCTGACTTCAGAGCATGTTGATCCTTTTTCTGAGCAAGAATCCTGACATTCCTTCACTGTCCAAATGTGTTTAACTTTTTTTTGGCAGCAATAAACATGACAGTTTACTTATTTTAATTTAAGACATGTTTTATTTTAATTAAGTTTAAAACTTTTTTATTTAATGTAAAATTATATTTTGTTTTAATTTACTTTCAAATTCTTCTGTTGCTGAATGGGCTGCATAGTTTTCATAAATAAATAAATAATAATAATAATAATAATAATAATAATAATAAATAAATAAATAAAATTGCAATACTATCGTATCGTGCGTTAAGTATTGTGATAATATTGTATCGTGGGATGTATGGTGATTCCCACATCTATCGCTTACGTCACTGTCATGAGACATTCTTGCAAAAAAATCACGGTTTTAGTAACGCAGTAACGCAGCGTTCCTACGGGAAAGTAACGGTAATCTAATTACCAATTTTGCAATAGTAATCCCTTACTTTACTCGTTACTTGAAAAAAGTAATCAGATTACAGTAACGCGTTGTTACTGCCCATCTCTGCCATGATTAGTGCTTCTGTGCTATCTTTCAGTCCAGCTTTGTCCAGCCACTGGTAGGACTTCTGGATGTCAGTCACTTCCTTTATCTGCTGGTGGTACATACCGTGCAGGGGCCTGTCCTTCCATGATGGTTCCTCCTCTTGCTCCTCTTTGGTGCATTTCTGCTCCCTGAGATATTCACTGAGCACATCTTCCTGATGTATTTGTGGATGTTTGCTGCCTTATCCTGAACTGTGGTACTGACACTCACCAGTCCCCGGCCTCCTTCGTTCCGCTTAGCATACAGTCTCAGGGTGCTGGACTTGGGGTAAAACCCTCCATGCATGTTTAGGAGCTTTCTCGTCTTGATGTCACTGGCTTCTATTTCCTCCTTATTATAACAGCAGCAGGGTACCTGATCACAGGCAGGGCGTAGGTGTTGATAACCCAGATTTTGTTCTACCGTTCAGCTGATTCTCAGGACTTGCCTGACCCTCTGCAGATACTTAGTGGTTGCAGCTTTCTTAGCAGCCTCTTCGTGTGGGATGCCTGTGGGATGCCCAGATACTTGTAGCTGTCCTCAGTGTCTGCAATATTTCCTTCTGGTAGCTTGATCCCCTCAGTTCTGACTACCTTCCCTCTCTTTGTTACCATCCGACTACACTTCTCCAGCCTGAACGACATTCCGATGTCATTGCTGTATATCGTGGTAGTGTGGATCAGTGAATCGATGTCTCGTTCACTCTTGTCATACAGCTTGATGTCATCCATGTACAGGAGGTGGCTGACGATTTCTCCGTTCCATAGTCGTATCCGCAGCCAGTTTTGTTGATGATCTCACTGAGGGGGTTCAGGCCTATGCAGAACAGCTGTGGGGACATAGCATCTCCTTAATAGGTCCCACACTTGATGGTGACTTGTGCTATGGGCTTGAAATTGGCATCTAGTGTTGTTGGCACATCCCCATTGAGTTCCTGATGAAGGCTCTACAGGTCCTGTTGATCTTGTACAATTCTAGGTATTCCAGGATCCATGTGCGGGGCTTCGAGTCACAGGCTTTCTTGTAATCAATCCGGGCACTGCACAGGTTGGTCAGTCTGGTCTTGCAGTCTTGGGCGACTGCTTTATCTACCAAGAGCTTGCGTTTCGTTCCTCTGTTATTCCTGCCAATTCATTTCTGTGTCCCTGCTCATGTATTGACCCACGTGCCTGTTCATCTTAGCCACTATGATGCCTGACAGGAGCTTTCAAGTGGTACTAAGGCAGCTTATTGGCTGGTAGTTGGATGGGACCGCTCCCTTCTGGGGGTCCTTGGAGATCAGGACTGTCTGGCTTTCAGTTAACAATTCTGGGTGTGTTTCATCCATTAGCAGTCTGTTCATTTGTGCTGCCACTTTAGATCCAATAGCTACTGAGCATTGACATTGTGGGTTGCGTCCTTCTCCCATATGCTCTTCCAGTATTGCTCCATCTCCAGGTTTGCTGGTGTGGTTCTCATATTGTTCCCCTGCCTCTGAGCGTATACCTTGGATGGTTCTGTGGAGTACAGCTGGTTTATTCTCCTGGTTTCTATTTCTGTGTTGAAAAAGCTGTGTTGTATTCAAGACTTTATACAGTACTGTCAGTATGATTTTAAATTGTAAAGCAGTACCAGTGGTAATAGTCCTATGTTGTTGTTGTTGTTTTTGTTTCATTATAAATCATATCCAGACATTGGATATAAGTCTGGATATTGCAGCATGTGTTATCAAAATGCTTGGTTGAAAATTGGACTTTTGCCAATGTATGGTGTGCCAGTCTGAGTGAATAAATAGACAGCAAGGTCGTGTTGCTTGTTAGTGTTGCAGAACTCGTGTTCATATTCCCCTGGGTGACATGCTTTGGAAAGCTGCAGAAGAAGAAACCCAGGTGCAGAAACAGGTGAATAGTAAGGAAAGAAAAGGGAAGTACGGAGGTCAATGCGTAGATGATGATCTATCTGTAGCTGAATCCGCAACATATGAGCTAAGTCTGTGTTTTCTATGCCGTGAGGAATTCTGAACAGCTGCTTCCAGGTACCTTATTGGGCTGATTTATGTCTTCTCCACCTGCTTTAAGACTTTCCTTCCTTTCCTCGTTCACTCAGGGTTCAGCCGATTCCTACACTAGTCGACCCTCTGATTCCGACCTGTCCCTGGAGGAGGACCAGGAGGCGTCTCGGCGTGAAGCCGAGCGCCAGGCTCAGCTGCAGCTGGAGAGAGCCAAGGTGAGAGCCTCAAGGTCAAAGGTCAATTATTGGCTTTAAAATCACCTCTACCTCCACAGGTACAGCAATAAAGTCCTGAGTCATGCTGAAAGCTTGCGTTCCAGTCGACCACTTTAGTCTTTATGTGTGTAAGGGTCTACAGAACTAAAACTAATCTTCAGATTCAAATTTTGCTGAATATTAAAGAAAAGGTCATTCGATATATTGCCATAGATCTTATTTGTTTTGGGGGGGGTTTTGTCGTCCACAGGCTAAATCAGTAGCATTTGCAGTGAGAACCAATGTGAGTTACTGTGGGGCCCTTGATGAAGATTGTCCAGTCCAAGGTGCTGCAATTAACTTTGAAACCAAAGACTTTCTGCACATAAAAGAGGTGAGAGCCATTACAATTCTGCATTTGTACATGGTTTACAAATAAAGTAACAATAAATATTTACTCTGATTAATGTTAACGCATCTTGCATCATGAGAGGTGTCTTTCACTGTTACACAGAAATACAACAATGACTGGTGGATTGGTCGGCTGGTGAAGGAAGGGGCAGACATCACTTTCATCCCCAGTCCAGTCAAACTTGAGGCCATGAGGATAAAGCAAGAGCAGAAAGCAGCAGCTAGGTCAGAGATTACGCAGCTCTGAGAGACCTCTCTGTTTTTCTGACGCTGTTGTCCTAATTTTAGCAGCTTCCTCTGCAGCACACTCTTTGTAAAGTTATTTTATTACTTCTGCTCATATGTTGCTGTGGTTTGGAGGTCCTTCTTTCTAAATTGCCTCCTTAGGGGATCCACGCATAATGAAGCTTTGCATTATGTTGCTCCACAGGAAAGGAGGGAACGCGTCATCCGGAGGCTGGAGGTCCACCCCTCCATCTGCAGGTGAGAGAGACTGAAGGAGTCCTGCTGTCATGTCTGTCTGTCAGGCCTTCAAGCTGCTACCGAGTCAGATTTGCGTACAGGGACTATTTCTGGGCAAAAATGTTACCTTCAGGGAAAACACGTGTTTACAAAAATCTTTTTACTATAGAGTTTTACTTTAAATCAAACTGAAGTTCAAAAGTTATTTGATCACTGCTGAATTTGGATCAGAGCTTCCTGAATAACACACAGTTAACAAAACTGTGCACTTGTGAAGAAAAACTCGAGTGAATGCAAAAAAAAAAGCCCAGATTGTTATTGTTCTTTTTTTTAAAAATTGTTTTATTATTTTCAGTTTATTTCCAGAGTGCGGTTACTCATTTCTGTTTAGTCTTTATAGTTTAAAAATGTTTTACTCTTGTTAGCCCAGTTAGTAACTTGCAATTTTGCTAAGTGGAATCATAAGCCCCTCCACTCCACTTTCACAAACACTGGACACGCCCCTGCTCATCACTAATTGCAAGAACCCACTTAGCTTTTCGCCTCTTTGCTCAATGTTCATTCTGTTTGTTTTCAAAGCCAAACAGAAGCAGAAACAGGTATGTTGGGGTATTCATCTGTGTATCACTCTGCTCCGATTATTTAATTTAAATGTTTTTATTAAATTTTTATAACTTTAAAATCTATCTCTGTGATCGTGTATTACTGTAACTTCCACATATCTTAATTTTCATGACTTCCACACTGTCTGCTTGTTGCCTGTGCAGACTGAACATGTTCCCCCATATGATGTGGTCCCTTCAATGCGGCCGGTGGTCCTGGTGGGTCCTTCGTTGAAAGGCTACGAGGTGAGTCAGCCATCAGTACTGTTCTTCAGTTATTTGGGCCTGGTTCTGTTTAATCTTGTGTTTTGATGCATGTAAATTAATTTGATTTAAATATTAAATGTATTTTTAGAGATAGTTTTTTATGTATTTTTATTATGGACAACACATTTGATCACAGCTGCATTTTGGTCCAGTCAGAAAATATTGCAATAGCTATCTGACAAATTGATGCAAAGCAAAAACGACAAATTTCAGCAATAGTTTGGCCATCCTTTAACTTTGTCTCTAGTGTGAACATTTATGAAATTTGAGATTCATGCTGCTCATGATGAGTCATTGGCAGGTCAAAATCTCACTTTTTTGCTGCAAACATTATGATGTCCCACAGTAGCCTCTGCTGTAAAATGTGTATAATTAGTAAACTCGCATTGTTATTATGAGCACATTAGCATGCTGACACAAGCAGTTAGCTGAAAGTACCAGTGTGCCTAAGTGCAGCCCACAGAGCTCCAATGTACCATATCGCTTTTCCAGAAAAAGACAAATAAGCTATTCTGAGGCACTACTTAATGTTGCAGTAATCTAACTGGGAATTAGCCATTATGTGAAGCCTTTCATTCACTTTGCTTTTATTAACAAAGAATAAAAATTAGGAAATTAAGCAGGAAATTAAGCAATAATATTTACTGTAACTATATGTTAAACGTATTTAGATGTTTGAGTTATTTCCAGCTAGTTTCTGCTCTTTTTCTCTTCTGGATTCCCTTTCTAGCATGAGTTTAATCAGGTGTGGATTTTCTGATCCAGTAAAACTGGGGTGTTTGGCTTCCATTATCCCATGAACGCTTTTACTAAGCCGCAGTCCCACCCTGATGAAATTAAAGGGCACACAGTAGGCATCTTAGATCCATCTGAGAGCTACAGAACTGCATGTATGCCCCTTTGCATTAGCCACACCATGTGTTATACTCCCATACTGAACAGACACGCACACACACACGCACACACACACATGCACACATCACAGATGAGACATATGAAAACCCACTGCAGTCAAAACGAAATAATGTCAGAATGCATCAATTTCGATGACTCGGTGGATGAATATGTGAGGCATGTGCTTCAACATTTTCTCCCTGCCTTGCTCTTTCCTCTGTGGCGGTGCAGGCTATGAGCCAAGCTGTTTGTTGTGTGTGTGTGTGTGTGTGTGTGTGTGTGTGTTGAAATATTTATGCGTTGCTCTGGTAATGTGCTTTGGGGATGCTCCAGTGGTGAATGCCAGGCTGCCTCTTTCTCTCATTCCCTCACATTCTCTTTCTCTGTGCTCCGTCTCTTGTGTACAAATTATTTTCGGCGACTCATCAGGGTTCTTCAGCACTGTCTCTCCTCCTTTCCACTCCTTTGCCTTCTTTCCCCATCTCTCTGTTTCAGTGTGGAAGCTTCATCCTCTACTCCAAAGGCCATTCATTTTTCAGGACTGTTTGAAAATAGACTGCTTCACTTCATCCTGGCAGTGCACAAACATCATTGTGCCACTCAGACATCCAAGTGATTTAACACTGAAAAAAGAAGGACTGTAATGCTGCTCATTTTTATCTGTGCTGACTCTTCTGTCTCTTTACAAAGCTATAACTGATTGGTCTTAAAGCTAAAAAATCCCATCACTGTCCTTCCAGCTGTTTACAGCTTCATTATAGTGTGTGACAGCTGTATTAATCCTCATTTAGTGCAGACACTTAAAGTCAGGTGTCACTAAAATCAGTGAAACATGCAAGAAATACTAAAGAGCAAGACGTGTGCATGAGTGAATGCATATTTCACAGCCCTTTCTCTCTCACAACGTCCCTCACTTATCTTCCTTGTTTCTGTTTCCTAGGTAACAGACATGATGCAGAAAGCTTTGTTTGACTTCCTAAAGCACCGATTTGATGGCAGGTGGGTAACGGCTGTCTGTGTCACTCTCTGCAGATGCAGAGCAGCGTACAGTAACGCTATGTCTGAACTGCCGAGCTGCTTGTGTGTTTCTGCATTGCACGTTTCGTGCTCGAAAGCACACACGATGACGATGATTTATTTTTAGTTGCAAGCGAGAAGGAGCACGAGCTCATCTCCTCCTTTGAAATGGAACAGTTGTGGATGTGGTGTGATAAGATGGTTCTTGTTTAGGATCACTATTACCCGGGTGACCGCTGATCTGTCATTGGCAAAGCGCTCAGTGCTGAACAAGAAAGCCATAATGGAGAGATCCAACACACGCTCAAGTCTGGGTGAGATTTAGAAAAATTTTTTTAAAAACTTGTCTTTGATCTTTTTTTGCTCAATAAAGATGGACAGATGGATGCTAAAAATAGATGCCCTTCTGTCTTCAATGACAGGAAAACTTAAATAAGTGATGCAGCTCTGTTAAAAGTGGCTTATGCAACTCTCTGCCATTCACAGCTGAGGTCCAGAGTGAAATAGAGAGGATCTTCGAGCTGGCCAAGTCTCTTCAGCTGGTCGTCCTGGACGCAGACACCATCAATCACCCAGCACAACTCCTCAAAACCTCTCTGGCTCCCATCATTGTTTACGTCAAAGTCTCATCACCTAAAGTAGAGTACAATCCTCAAAGCTGCCTTTCTGGTCATATTCTGGATTCTGAGCAAACTAGTGGTTAATTAAACCTCTGTGGCACTATTTTAATTATTTAAATATTTGCTGGTTCCCAGCATCTGAGGGATCGTACACAAAATGCCTTGTTTTAGATGGTAAATGATGTACGTGGTTACATGGTTCTCTCCAGGTACTCCAGCATCCTCCAGCAGTCCAAAGCAGTCCATGCAATTAAGAGTTAGGTTAACTGGTTATTGTAAATGACTCCTATGTGTGAATGGTTCTCTCTCTGTGTTGGCCCTGTGACAGGCTGGTGAACTGTACCCTGTCTCTCGCCCAATAGTAGCTAAGATAGGCTCCAGCCTCCCTGTAAACCTGAATAGGATGAGAGGAAGAAGATGGATGGATAAATGATTGGATGGATAAATGATAACAGAATTAGAAAGTTCAACTTGGAAGGTTTTAAAATAGTACACTCCCCGTACAGATTAACATTTGTTTGAAGGAGCTCAAAAGAGGCAAATCAATGAGGAGAAATCATTTGGAAGAATTGAAGAGGAATTGAGACTTTGATGACTCATAATGGCAGAACAGAATCCCAGCAGTGATAGGATTTAGAGCACTGAGTGACTCTGAGTGGGAGATGGGGAGGAAGTGGGTTGCACAAATGAGAGTCTGAAAGGGAGAATGAAAGAGAGCGTAGATTTAAACCACACAGAGTGGAGGCTGATTGGCTCAAATAAGGCAGGTGAGAAGATGATTGGACTCGAGTAAAGATGTCAATATTGAGACGGACAGCACGGAAAAGAGGTAGACATGGAGACAGGAAAGCAGGCAGATGAGTGATTACAGATCTTTCTTACTGAACGTACGCATGAGCGTTATTTAAACAATTTCTGTCTGTAAGGGGTGTGTCTAATGCGGTTAAAACGGATAAATTAATTGTATGATATTAAATTAAAACCATGCTCGTTCATTTTTTGTGTGTGTGTCTGAATCATCTGGCAGGTTCTTCAGAGGTTGATTAAATCTCGAGGGAAATCACAAAGCAAACACCTCAATGTCCAGATGATGGCGGGGGACAAGCTCGCTCAGTGTCCACCTGTATGTCACGTTATGTAATTAAATGATATTTTAAAAGTTTAAAAAGTTTTCATTGAAGGACTTTGTATAAGTTTTCTCTTATCATTTTCTGAATCAACAGGAGATGTTTGATGTCATCCTGGATGAGAATCAGCTGGAAGATGCATGTGACCACCTTGCAGAGTACCTGGAAATTTATTGGCGTGCTACGCACCTCCCCTGTTCTGCCCCAGTGAATCCCTTGCTGGACCAAAGTGTGATAACTCCACCTTCTGCTAACTCCAGCCAACAGGTAAGAGGAAAAAGAAACTCCTCAGGTGGTGCTTGATTTACTACTTTCGGATGCATTATTAATCACATATCCTTTGCTTCCTGTGTCCACTCTAGTTTTCTGAGACTCAAGAGTTGATAGAATGAGCACTACTTCAGATGTAGGTGAGATGAAACTTACTTTTCTGGATCTGCTATCGTTACCGTCTCTTGAAATTTGCCCCTTCGACCTCTGCAGGAGCAGCTTGTGCTGTCAGCTGGGGTCAGACAGTCGTAGCGCACAGGGACCAGGGCACCACCAGGGGGCAGCAGCAGTCCTCGTCTCTCCAAACCTGGCCACCACCTTCTCCAGCCACACCTGGGCCAAAGAAAAGAGGAAAAGCAGAGTATGGTGAGAGAGAAGGAGCAGGAGGCTGGTGAGCTGGAAGGAGAGAAGACACAAAAAACAGGAAAACAAGAAGAAGGAGGAGAATGATTTGATTAATGCTGCAACAGAAGAAGGAGCCTCCACCTTACTGCTGCCCCCTCGGCAAAAGCTCCCTGCTCCCACTACCACGCGACAACTCAGGGCCAATTTCTACAGCTCCACGTGCACTGGTATTTCAGAAAAACAGTGTAGCAGTGAAGTTACAACTCACTATCTGCCCCCTTTCTCATATTTTTCTCTCACCGTGACCTTAAACCTGTACCTCACTCCCCGCTTTTACATTTGAAGTCACGTCTCCCACCTGACAAAGGTGCGCCAGCCTACGTTTGCTCACACAGGCAGATTCACCTCTCACTGTAGCTACATCACACACCTGTAAAGTTCAGAGGAAGTTAGCCTACAGTCCTGTAGCATAGCAAAGCTACCAGTGTAAAACCTATACACCCTCCCAACACAGGGTTCCAGGGGGTCTGTGTCTGATACACGCCACTTAAAGAGGGTGACAGAAAATCAGCTTTGTATGTCTTCCATCTCTGCAGCTCTCGATGAGTTGTCATTCCAAATGTTTAACCAAATGTTTTCTCTACAGCACAAATGCAATGTCAGAGGCATCATGTTGTCACTTATGTTAGAGGACTCTTACTTTCCCTTACTTGCAGCTCCTGTTTTATGTTATTCTTTCTATTGACCTTTTTACTGTAACTGTCGTTACTACTGTTTATAATTCGTAAGCTCACTCTCAGTGTCACTGATTGCATATCTGTACACAACAGTGATGCTGAACACATGTATAACAAGCACAGACATGCACAGACGGTCTATATGCATCTTTGTCACAGCTATGAATGTATAAACGCTGGTCCACTGGCTTAGGAAGGATTACTTATAATAACTGTGGTTTGCAGATGATTGGAGGCAAAACCCGAAAAGGTCTGTTATCACATCTAAATATCCTAAATGCTTACACTTTACAAAGTTTGACTGTATTTACATGATTTTCCTACCCCAAAGAAAAAATAGTTTGTAAAATTGTTTTATCCTCCCAGAAATAATTGATCACAGATAACCCATGTTTAACATGAGCTATTCCACAACTGCTCCTGACTTAGGACTAACTTCAAAATGTTCATTAAGATGGTTTGAAAGTAAAACTTTGGAACCAATGAGCCAATAATAATAATAATAATAATAACAATAATGATAATAATAATAATAATAATAATGGAAATATTAGAAATGAGAAAGATTAATGATTTCCAACAACATCTGTAGACAATTAACAGTTAAATATTACCTCAGTGTGTCTTCTGAACGTGGTGCTTGGTGATTGTAGCTCTAAATTACAATAAGCGCATCACCGTAAGCTACGCAGCCAGGAACATGGTCATTTATTTATTTACGTCCAATATTTTGCTGTTACTCTCTGTCAATATAGCGTCAGCATTAAGTTGCTCTGTGAATAAGAAGCTGTGGACACTCACTACACTACACCACTGAGAAGACTTCATCTCCTCTACAGGAACAAGATCTCTGAGCACATGAACTGATTGTAAAGGTTTACTTCCTAACAAGCCTGGGAAAGTATTTTATTATCACTGGACATGAGGGTGACCTCTGGTGATGTATTTACATTAGTACCAGGTCTTATAACCATTATTACTTATTCTCTGCCCACATAGCAGGATATACATTATATATATGCATAGACTTTAATCAAAAACATGTCAGATTTCATGTGCGTACAACCACCAGTGTTCTTTTCTGCATCCATTTCATGTCTTGCATTGCTCACAAAAATGAATGCGTCTCAGTAAGCACTTCAATAATCGCATTAATGCAACTGCTTGTGTCATTTAAAGCAACAGAATTCTGCTAACATATCATACATATAAATAATCGAATATATGTGCATGATATATTGTATTCCTGTTTCATCAGAAGGGCTTTTTCAGATCAGCGTCACATGAGCCGTTCACTCTTCAGACTAAATCTGCGCGACCTATGTAACCACTTACATATGCATTATAAAGGCTTAAATGTAAATACTGTATATTAAATATGCAGATACTATTATTATTATTAGCAGATTGCACAATAACAGCAAAAGCTGACAGGTTTTAACCAGTACACAATTCTATAATCAGCGCCTCAGAAAGCATGTGTTTATATGTAATATCCTCTTTCTTTCCTTTTTTAAAGAATGGTGCACAGCTTATATAGGACCACTATTAAGGTTGCTTCCACTAACACCATGATTCATTTCTGAAGGGCCGGGTTTGAGATACATAACTTCTACTTGATGAAACACAGAGAGCACAGTACCTTCTTTCGATAAAATCTACTCAGCTTCTCCTGTTGCTTAATTTTTATTGCAAGAAATTTATACAAAAGTCAATTATACTTCTTTGGTTTTCCAAAGCACAATTTTTTACAATTATCATTTCCTATTGCGTTTCACTTGCCTAAATTCTGTATGCAATACAAAGTTTAGCATCAACGAGACACTAGCTGAGACTATCAAAATATCTCCTCAGTTAAGATGGAGTATAATTGCACTACTATTATTTATACTAAACGTTATGCTGTACCCACCTCCAATACAGAGGAAAAAAACTGTTTGGCCTAATGATGATGTCAACGTTTCTCATCGTTTCTGACAAGTCTGCAAGATAAATGATATCCAACAGTGTCTGATGATGATGTGTAATGGGTGCATCTTTTGTCAATAGCACATGAGAAGGAGGAGGTGAATAAAAAAAAACATTTCATTAACGTTTGTGTGTGCCATGTGACTTTTCATCAGCTATTCACAAAACCACCAACAGAGGGCAGAAGTAGCATTCTAGCCATCTATGCAACAAACAAGATGCAGTTTCCCATTTTGACATCAATCAAACAAAATTGAGACAAACTGAAATTAAAGTTGTGAGTCTGTCCTCCAGCCACCCCATAGTCCAACTACACTACTGGACTAATTGCAGATGAATGTGAGGAAGAAAAATCTTGTGGAAATCTTCTACTATATAAGAAAGTTTCTTCCCTTAGTTGTACCTTGGCTGAGACACCCATGTTTAGCATAGTAAGAAGGGGTGGGAGGGGTCATAACAAATTTAACAACATATTCCGGATCTCTATAATCAACCCACACATACTTTTGCATCATTCACTGAAAAACAATCTACTAACATAATTTATATAAGTACTAATAAGCCACTTGTTTCGTTCATTATGACCTGTGTTTCCTATGTAAGCAATATATTATTGTATTATTCAATTAAGCGTCACTAGGGAGGCTGGAGCCTTTCCCAGCTAGCTGGGCGAGAGGCAGCCTACACCCTGGACAGTTCACCAGGGTTAACACAGCAGGCTAACACGGGATTAGAGTTAGAAACAAATCTGCTAACATTGTTCATATACATGTTATTTGGAACATGATCATCTTTTACCATTGGTCCAGGGCTTACAGTACCCTGGAAAGGTCTTGAGCCACCCCTCATTTCTTTCTGTTTTATTAGCAAAAACTGGGAAATAGGCTCAGTGTATGTGTAAACATACATGGAAACACAGTCTATAAGGCAAAAACAGACATTTTTTTTATTCTAATGAGACTGAAAGTCAATGTTTAGTATGGACATCTTTAACATCTAACATCTATTCTTTAACACAGCTCGATCGGTCTTGTAGGCAAGTTTCCTTGTCATTTCTTGAAGACGTCTTCGGGAAAAGTCCTCCAGCCTTTGAGTCCATTCTCTTCTATAATGATTCCACACTGCATCAGTATTGAGGTCCAGACTCTGGGGAGGCCCAGACTGGACTGGAAATGTTCTATTGGATGTTTTTCTTTCCAGGTTTGCATTTAGTAAACTGGCAGTGTGTTTGGGCTTTTGCCAGTCACACTCTTTGCATGTTGACAACCTTGACCTGCTGCTGATTTTGGGCTCTGTTCTTGTGTAATTTGCCTTTTCTCTCTCATTGCCTTCCTTAAGATGAACTTCTTGACAGCCATCCTTCCACTGCAACCATTCGTTATGAGGCTTCATTAAGCAGTGTATGGATCATCAGGCCCCGTGTCATGTTCTTGCTGGATTTTTTTCTTATTTATCATGAACATGACTTTCAATTAGTGTTCATCTGCTATGGATTGTTTTTCAATGTATTTTGTACAGGTTACTAGTAACAAGGTGACTAAAAATACAATTTCAAATCGGTTCTTTTCTAAATATTTTGTTATGTTTAGACACAAGATTGGTTAATCCCTTGATTTAGGCGATCTTTATATTCAAATGATGCACAGATCACTGTTAGGTGTCTTAACAAACAAACAAGAAAAAAAAAACAGCCAGGTAAAAGGACTGGACTCAAAATAAATGAAAAAGCAAAGCAGGAAAACCTGGAGCTCTCTCTGCAGTAGCTGCTGTGTACAGTACTCTATAAAACCATATTTCACGAACTGACAGATTTATATAACTTCCATATTTGATCGAATCGATGCCTATTTACATAGAGACTCAAAAAATGCAAAATGATGCTTAAAGTGTGTTAATTTGATGTAGCACATGTTAAATTTATGCCAGACCTCCGGGGTTACAGCTCCATCTGGTGACGATTTTGTGGCAGAAAAATAAATAAATAAAATCAGAATCTTGACTCATCTTTTGTTTGTTTTTCTGGGGCTATTTGTAGACTGCCGCCACTCTCAGTCTGTTGATTTAGCTACCAACACTGTCACCCAATACATCAAGGTGTGATAGCCTAAAGTGTCAATGCTTCCTGCAGTCAGCCTCCTCCTACCTCTCTTCCTCATCTCCCTGTACCAGCCATATTGGAAGGTGTCACTTTATGCCTGATGATTATTCACAGCCACCTGTCTCTGTCCCATCAGAGGGCATCTGTGGTGATCACACAGACGTCATGCTGCAGTTAGTTTAGAAGGGTTAGAGAGAGTTCGTAACCTGCAACTTTTCTTTTTCATACTTTCTGCATCACTGTATCTTATTTACTTTACCGATCAGTGGGGAAGTATTTTTTAACTGACCTGTAATTAAATATTTAAAATGCAATAATTATGTATATTGATATTGCTCTAGTTGTAAGTAATGAAGCTTAGAGGTTTTACATTGTTTCTACTGGAGTTGCTGTGTTGTTGGATTAGTCGAAAACACACATTTTTATCGTGGAATACAAGTTTATTACTTGCCCTCACAGTTATTCTCACCCCTGCCTTCCTTTAGCCTGATTTCATAGCTTCTCCTGTTATCTAAGCAATACAAGATTTTTAGATAGATTTTTCTTTAACCCTTCAAACTCTAAAAACACTAAAACTTCAATTTATTTGAGCAAACCTCACAAACCAAATAGAGAGTACTACCTGGTCAGATGTGATCAACGGTGGGAATGAAAGGCTAACAGCATCATAGAACATTTCCCCCTGCAGTCACATCCTTTATTAACAACCTTATGTGTGATGGCAGCGAGACACGTTAGGCTGTAAAAGACAAGGCAGCTCGACGGATGAATGATATGAGCTGTTTGTGAACAAAGGCAAATTGCTTTGACCCACTGGGTCAAAACTGAAAGAGCTGTGATTGGCAACAGTAAGTAAATTAGCCAGGAGGTCGCCAGACAAAGAAGAGGGAAGTTAATTGACTTTTATCTTTTAATTTCCCCTTTCCTAACAACGAGGCGCTGTTTCCGTAACCAACTTTAAGGTATAAAGGTGAATTACAGCGCAATAATTACTTGGGCTCGTAATAAGACCCTGGCCAGAATCAGAAGACACCAAATTCGTATGGAGCCAAAGTATTGAGCAGCA